GATGGCCGAGCGAATGCCTGGATGACGAGAGTAAGGAGCAGTACCTTAGGGAATACGAGAAAACCGAAGGTATTGTCCTCGATAAATAATATCGCTCGAAATCCAGGTTTACGTTCGGTCGCAAAGCTCTGCCTGAATTCTTTCTGGGGTAAATTCGGCCAACGAACCAATCTGCCTAATACAGAGATCGTAAAAAAATACGATCGTTTGGCGGCGTTGCTCACGAGTTCAGAGCACGAAATAACCAATATATTACCTGTCAACGACGAGGTAATATATGTTTCGTGGCGACTACGCGAAGAGACGGTCGCTCCTTCCGCGCAAACCAACCCTGTGATCGCGGCTTGGACGACGGCACAAGCGCGACTAATATTATATAAATATTTAGAGAAGTTAGGTAGTCGCGTTTTATATTGCGATACAGACTCGTGTATCTATGTAAACAGAGGCGAGCAGAGCGAGTACGAGCCGCGTACGGGAAATTTTCTGGGCGATATGACGGACGAGCTCGAGAGCTACGGTCGGGGCAGTTTTATCGAGTCGTTCGTGTCCGGAGGCCCGAAATTCTACGCGTACGTCGTTCGTACACCGGAAGGTCGTCGACACGAGATCTGTAAAGTTAAGGGCATTACGTTAAATTATAAGAACTCTCGTATTATAAATTTTAATAGTATTAGGAAATTAATAATAGATAATGAAAGAGAAAGACGCGATGAAGAAGAAGAAGAAACGGGGAGAGTAGCGATAAATTTGCGTTTTAACGCAATCCGTCGCACGGCGTTTCACGGAATCGTAACGCGAAACGAAACGAAGACGTGCGCACCGGTATTGGTAAAACGTAAATTTATCGATAATCGTTATTCCCTTCCGTATGGCTTCAGAAGAGAATAACGTCTTCTTCTTCTTCTTCTTCTTCTTCTTCTTCTTCTGTTCTTTCTCTCACTTATATTTTAAGCTCGCGAGTTTTCCGCTTATTCGCGTAGTATTTAAGCATTATGTGAGAGAAACATAAATTTAAGTTTTTTGTAAATAATAAATAGTCCAAGTATCCCTCTTTTTTACGAAAAATTTTTTCATTTTATTAAAAATGTATCAAATAATTTAATGTAAAATGTAAAATATAAAAATGTAAATATTTAATTATAATAAAAAATGTATTATATTGTTTCAAAAAATAATTGAATTTTATGTAAGATAATTTTATATAAGAGTTAGCAAAAATATAAACAAAAAAATTTAAATTACATATGTTTCCTTTTTCTCCTCTCCTCTTTTTTTTTTGAGAAAAATATCGAATAAAAACATTTTTTACTCGAAGGAAAAAAACAAGAAGTGATTTATTACTTATTTCTAACCAACCTTTCCTATTTCGTCGAAAAGCTTTCCCCCTCGCAGAGACATCGCGGTAGCGGTAGCATCGGTAGGCTTATCGATGTCGCGTACTCGTTTAACGTTAGAAATATACGCCGATCGCAAATCTCTTTGACGCGCGCGAAGATAAGCTCATGCGCGTCGCACCGCGGCGAGATCAGCTTTTCGTCAGCCGCGGTGCTCTCCGCTGACAAGCTCACGCGGGGGTACGCTGGCGCGAGCACTCGTCCGCCGCGAAGGGGCCCCCGTCGGCGCGTTGATCAGCTTATCTTCTCTTAAAATTATTTTTTCACGCGCTCTAGAAATCAACGAAAACGACGTTTTTCCTTTTTTGCTTTTTGAAGTCGCGCGCGAAGATCGTTTGCTCATTTCGCAAAATGGACGTGCGTTGGAAACATCCTTGGACATCGATCGTATGCGGTCCGACTGGCTGCGGAAAGACGGTCTTCGTGAAGGCTTTTCTCAGGCATTTATCTCTCATGTCCGACGTGTGCTTCGAGAGAATTTTGTTTTATTACGCTGAATGGCAAGAAGCCTATCGTCGATTACAATACGATACGCGTGTAAAAGAACAGCCCTGGGGTTGCAGCGATACTAAAACGGCGAGGAAGAAGAATATAATTGAATTTCGCGAGGGATTACCCCGTCCGGAAGATTACTCGAACGATCCGCTTTCTCCGAAATTAGTGATAATCGACGATCTTATGAGAGAATCGTCGTCGTGCGACGCGATCGTGGATCTTTTTACCAAAGGCAGTCATCACAAGAATCTCAGTGTTATTCTTATCTCGCAGAATCTATTCCACCAGGGGCGTGGACAGCGCGATATATCGCTTAACGCGAATTACATCGTCGTTTTCAAAAATCCACGTGATCGTGCTCAAATTCGTCATTTAGCGCGTCAAGTCTATCCCGACGATCCGAAATTTCTAGAAGAGGCGTACTACGACGCCACATCGAGGCCTCACGGGTATTTGTTGCTCGATCTGAAACAATCGACTCCGGACGAGTATCGATTTCGAACGTGTATTTTTCCCGAGGATACGTATCATTACGTCTACGTGCCGCGTAGATCGTTTTCCAACGGTTACGTATAAAAGTTGAGTACGACTAATCGCGTGTATCAGTCGTAGATTTTTCTCACGATGAGGCTGGCTGACGCGAAATCGCACAGAGCGACGAAAATCGCCACACATTCGATCGGTAAGAGAAACGCCTGTCTCCTCGCGGCGCTCTATCATTTGAACAAAAATCAACGCACAACCTTCTTGCGTAGCGCTGACGAAAAACTAATTCGCTGCATCTGTGAATGTGTTTTCAATACACTCAAAGGTAACGTCTCGCTCGAACGGCGTGAAAAAAATCGGTTAACCAAATACAAAAAAGCTCTGCGCCACGTCGTTGCAAAACGCGGTAATTGGAAGGATAGAAGAAAGCTGTTGGTGCAGCGAGGCGGATTTTTACCCTATATTATCGGACCTATATTATCGACCTTATTATCGTTAATTATCGAAGGAACGAAATAGTAGAGATAAAACGTTATGGAGAGGGCCAAAAAAATGGTTTTAATTTCGACGGAAAATCTGGAGAGAATGCAGCAGCAGCATCAGCTACGTCGGAATCCGACATCGTTCGTCGACGGAGAGTCAAAAGGAATAGCAGTATCGCAAAATTCGGATAACACCTTGAGCTCTAATAACACATCGCAAACCCCGGGAACTCGTCTAACGCGACTCGACGCGGAGATGAGTCGTATTCTCAATTCCAGATGGCCTCGCGACGAAAGCGAGAGGTGGAAAATGTACAAAGAGGCATTATGGAGATACCTACGGTTTATCCGAGAAGCGCGAAGACAGAAAGACGTACGTAACGAAAACGAAAATGCGGAAGACAACGTTACACGAGATGCCTCCGATGATAACGAGAGCGATGACGTTTTTTACGATCTCACGCGAACATCCGATATACCAGCGCCATCACATTCCAACAGTAGTAACGCAGATATTACAGTGAAAAATTTCGAAATTTCGAGCGAGCATAATCGTATGATGAAAAGCATCGAGGAAATAATGGAAAGCGTACCGAAATCTTATCGTAATCATGCACACTTACTGCTGAAACATTTGCTTCGAAAAGCTCCGCCCGATAAACTTAGTTGGGACGAGCACGGAATCGTGACTATAGATGGTAACGTCGTGAAAGATTCGAATATCGCTGACTTAATAAACGAAGCAATGCGCGAGAGAAAAACCGTGAAAGCAGTGGGTAGAAATCAGTTTGCACGATTACTCCGTGTGCTGAACATACCTTCTGCACTGGTGAGAAATAAAAGTTTATTGTCCGCGCACGCGGATGCTGTAAATATCGTAAAACTTCGTCCGCGCGCGAGTTCTACGCCTGTTACGTCGAAAGAGCAAGTTCCACGTCGATCGTATCGTCGAGAGCCCGAGGAGGGAGAAAAACGTAAAAATTACGAACAAGAAATAGACGAGGGAAGCTCACTGATTCTCTCTCGCAAACGAATAACCGATACCCCCGTATCTTTGCAAACGGGGAAAAGCCGGTTGCTCGGCTGGAAAAAATTGAGATAACGATGACGTTTGAAAAACTATACTACGATCCGTCGAATTATGCGAGTTATTCGGCGGTGGATAATCTAACTCGCGCCGTTAAACCGAATTTCTCACGGGGAGAAGTCGTACGCTGGCTCGAATCGCAAGACGCGTACACGTTGCACAGGCCATTGCACAGAAAATTTCCAAGATTGCATTACAACGTGACAAACATTGACGATGTGTGGGAGGCAGATTTGATCGAACTGCGAAATCTAAAAAGTTACAACGACGGTTATTCCTATCTGTTAGTAATTATCGATGTATTAAGCAAATATGTCTGGGTAGAACCGCTACGTGACAAAACGAGCAACAGCGTGATAAAAGCTTTTCAACGCGTACTAGCAAAAAGCGAAGGACGAGTACCCGTATACTTACAAACGGACAAAGGTAAAGAATTTGTCGCGCACCCAATGCAAAAATTCCTTAAAGAAAACGATATTCGTTTTCGAGTAACGCGCAATCCCGACATTAAAGCCGCCGTTGTCGAGCGCTTCAACAGAACACTGAAGGAGCGAATGTGGCGTTATTTCACGCATAAAAATACGCGACGCTACGTCGATGTTCTACAGGACGTTGTACGCGCTTACAATCACACGCGTCACACGTCCACGAGAATGCAACCCGCGGTAGTAACGAGAGAAAACGCCCGTATCGCGCGTGAAAATATATCGCGTCGTTGGAAAAACAACATATTGAAGAAACGAACGCGAAAGATTAAATATCGCGTTGGAGATCTCGTTCGTATCAGTAGGGCGAAAGCGGCCTTCGAGAAAGGTTACGAGGCTAAATGGAGCGAGGAAATATTTCAAATTTATCGTATTCTCGATTGGCGAAATCCTCACGTGTACGAGCTACGAGATTTAGCAGACGAAGTCATAGACGGTATTTTTTATGAGCAAGAATTAGCACGAGTCGAGAAGAACCTAGAGGAAGAACAATTTATCGTTGATCGCGTGATAAAGAGTAGAGGGCGAGGAGCTAATAAACAAGTGCTAGTTAACTGGCGCGGTTACCCCAGTAAGTTTGACACCTGGATTCCGGCATCGAGTTTAATTTCTCTTCGCGATGGAGGAGGAACAATTTCTTCTAGTACTCCCGAGTAACAGTAGTATGCGCCATTTTCCTAATAATACAACGTCGTCCTTCAGCACGGAATTACCTCACGCTATAGTGTTGCACGGAGAATGGGAGGTTGCGATAAGTGAGATTCAATTTCCTTGCACCTTTTTACACGTGCGTCATAACGAAAATGTGATCAGATTCGTCGACGTTAATCCCGACGAGGAAACGAATGGCCCGTTTACGGCAAAAGAAGCTCCAATTCCAAATGGAATTTACAACGATATCCACGAGCTTATTAAGGCGATTAATATCGCTTGTAAAGAGGCCGAGTCGCATTTTTATTTCGAACAGCAAAGCGCGTCTGGCGGCAAAGTCTACATAAGTATTAACTGCGACGAAAAATGCAAATTGTTGCATCATATAAACTTTTCCGATAATCTTCTACGAATGCTGGGCTTCTCAGCAGCAATTTCCGGTAATCATCACTTTTATCCCAAGCTAGCGATACGTAAACCTAATTCCAATGAGACAGAAGAGAAAGTTTTTCTTACTACTGGATTTGATAAGAAGACGGGGCAGCGACATACAACCGGTTATTGGAGTACCGAACCCTATAGTTTGTGGCGTGCTATCCCTGATAAAATGTTCGTATATTGCGACATTTGTGCGCCTTATATAACAGGCGATGTGCGTACTCCTCTTCTCAGAATAGTACCGATCGAGATACGTAGTCATAATTACGCATTTGGTGCAAATTTGGTGAAGCATTTCTCATTTCCAAATTATATCCCCTTGCAGCGAACAAATTTCAGAACGATCGAAATAGATATAAGAGATCATCTTGGAAATAAAATTCCATTCGAATTCGGTACGCTGACTGTGACACTGCACTTTAAACGTAAGCAATAACTTTCTTTCGTACGCGCGAACGCGAAGGTAACGCCAGTCTATAGTTAACAACTCGCGATGGAATATGAGGAGCATTTTGACGCGCGGGATACCGGTGGCAGAGGTGGAATTTCACGTGTTTTCGTCGGTTCACCCTATCAGCGCGGGCATGGAATCGGAAGCTTTCTCGGTGGGTTATTTAGAAAAATACTACCTTTTCTAAATAGGGGTGCGCGTGCTGTAGGAAAAGAAGCTTTACGCGCTGGAATTAACGTGATAGATGACGTCGAAAATAATAAGCCGTTAAAGGAAGCGATCAAAAGTCGACTCGTGGAATCGAGGGGTAATCTGAAGAGAAAAGCCAAAGAAAAAATAAGCTCGCTGATGAGGGGATCCGGATATAAAATATCCACGAAATCCGCAGCGCTTCAGTTTCCACTCGGTGGTCGAGATAGAAGTATCTCGCATCGCAAACGTCGTCGGGGAGTCAAAAGAAAATCATCGAGAAGTATCACAGGGAGGAAGAGCAAAAAAGTGACGAGGAAAAAGAAAATTCGTGCTGCTGGAAGAAAAACCAAAAAATCATCCGCTAGGAAACATCGTGGCAAGAAACGCGACGTATCCGACATATTCTCTTAATTGTGATACGATTTCACTGCTGAGGAGAAAAGCATGTCATTTCTTCATACCCACTCGAGCGAGTGTATAAAGAGCGAACTCGATCTCTTCTCTCTGCCACCTACGCAAACCAGCATTGAGAGTTCGCAATGGATTTATTACAAACCCGTAACTTCGCTCGCAGACGACTCGCCCATAGAATTCGTCATACCCGGACATGGAGAAGACTATCTGGACCTCACTCACACCATGTTGAGCCTTCGTATACGCGTAGAAAGCGAGCGCGGGGAGAACACGTCGGTCGCGCCCGATGGCGAGGCAAAAGTAGGCCCCGTAAATCATTTATTGCATTCCATGTTCAACCAAATCGACGTATATTTCAATCAAAAGCTCGTATCGCCACCAAACAACGCTTACGCGTACCGCGCGTACATCGAGGCGTTATTAAATTATGCTTCACCCGCAAAAACCTCCCATCTAACCTCTTGCTTATGGGACGCGGATATCCCTGGTTACATGGACGACACGCTAGACGCGACAAATCCAAATACAGCGCTCGAGAGACGCGCGCGATACATTCGAGGAAATCGCGCTCTAGATCTCATTGGTCATCTTCACTGCGACGTTTTCAATCAAGATAAATTTTTAATTAATGGAGTGGAGGTTAGAATGAGACTCGTACGCTCGAAAAATTCATTTTGTCTTATGGAGAGTAAAACGCTATCAAAAATACGCATTCTTGACGCCAGTCTACTCGTAAGAAGAGCAAAAATAAGCCCGGGCGTGCTCCTCACACACGCCAGAATGCTGAGTAAAACTACCGCCAAGTATCCCCTTACGAGGGTCGAAGTTAAGACATTCACGATACACGCCGGCGTCGTGGGGGAATCGATAGACAACGCAATACTCGGGCAGCTACCAAAACGAATAATAGTCGGCTTTGTCGATAACAAAGCGTTTAACGGTGATAGAAAATTAAACCCGTTTAATTTCAAAAATTACGGAATAAATTTCTTTTCACTGTACGCCGATGGCATGCAAATTCCGAGTAGGCCGATACAACCAAATTTTTCGAAAAACGACCCGCTCTACGTTGAAGCTTATCACACATTATTCTCCGGAACCGGTATCCACTTTCTGAACGAGGGCAATTCTATAAGTAGAGACGATTACGCCAATGGCTACACTCTTTTCGCTTTCGATCTTACTCCCGATCTATCCGCTAATTGCGCGGGACATTGGAATCTCGTAAAACACGGAAGCTTACGATTAGAAGTGAGATTCGAAAAAGCTCTTTCTGCGACTATTAATTGTATCGTCTATGCCGAGTTTGATAACGTTTTAGAAATCGATTCCTCGCGTCAAGTTATTGTCGACTTTTCCGGTTAGTTACGGGGGGTAGAACGGCTTTCGTGAGAAAATTATTTTCCCCTCCCCCCCGTACTACGTATTTTTTCTCGTCTAATTGGACGCGAGAATACGAAAAAGCTTCAGTCTTGTTCGTGACACCAACGCCAGCGTTTCGTGACGTAAAAGAGTAGAGAAAATTCAGATATAATATCATAATGGATATAGTCATCGACATACAAGGTTTTCGCGATGTCGAAGAAAACTTTATTCCGAAAGAAGTCGCGGTTCTAGCGATTAACGCTGCGATCACCGGACATTGGATTATGACGTCACCCTGTCCATTTGAAGATTTACCCGTGAGAGCAAAACGAGAAAACAACTGGCTCACACGAAATTATCATGGAATCGAATGGTTCGATGGAGACGTCAATCCAAAAAACTTTACGATACATCTGCGTGACATTACACGACACGCTCGCTACATCTATACCAGAGGACAAGAGAAGACTCGATATCTGAGCAATCTACTTTCTAGAAACGTATATAATCTGGAGGGAATTTCGCCGGCTTTCAAAAATCTACCAGATTTCGAGGACCGTGGACAACGCTGCACGCATCACGGATTTCGAGCCAGCGCCGAATCACACTGCGCCTTACGCAACGCTTACAAATTGAAACGCTGGCTAACTGTACGACGTAGCAACAATTCAAGTTATGATAACCTTTCCTCGGGAAATTGGAGCGAGAGCGTCGTCGAGAGCGAAGAAACCGACAGCGAGAATTCTTCTTCAATTCAATTTAAAAATCAGAAACACGATATCGCTCGCAACATTGAAGCGACGAAAAAGACGAATCATAGTGCGGACAAACAAGTGACAGACGAGGAGAAAAAAGACCTCTCAAAATTCGACTCGTTGACCGATAGAGATAAAGCTAGCACCAACGTCTCGCTAGCATCGAGCATTTTAGGGAGCTATATCCACGCTGCATACATCGGCAAAAGAGGTACACTTTGAATCTACGCAAACATTTCCTCTCTCGCGCTCTCCGACGACGAGAAATGAATTCGC